GTCATTCTTTTAACAGATGAAAAATTATAAAATTCACTTTGTTAGTGATTTTATTGGAAAAAGCATTCAAAACGTTGAGCTTCATCAAACGGTCAATCATGGTCGAGTTGACCTTTGAGAATAGGCTGATGGTTTGAGCCAAACTTGATATAGGCATCAAGATATTTTTGTAAAGGTTTAATTGCTTTGTTTGTCCCTAGTTTGAGGTGCAGTGTGTCAAGTTTGTCCATCATTTTAAAAAAGTTTCAATTTCGTTCAAACGTGGTTTAAAAGTTTCAATTTCGTCCAAACGTGGTAAAATTTGCCTCAATCGAGTCCCTTTCGTTAAATACAAACTAACGGGGTTAACTTTTTTTTCTCTTTCTTCTGTTTTTTGTGCAACACAACTCTTTGTGAGTACTTTCTCCTATGCACCGCTGGATAAAGTGATACAAAATAAGTGAATAATTGTTCCTATACTTTTAATGATATTTTAAAATTAAGTATATAATAAATGGAAAGACTTAAATCTCACGCTCTAACAAAACTCATCTCTCTCTCGCTCTAACAAATCTCATAGTCATTTTCATCACTTTTTCTTTCTGATTTCGATCAAGAACAAATACTTTATATTATTTTTTTTATTTGATTTTAAATCCAACCCTGATTCATCAACTTCAAACTCGAAGTACTGGGTGAACCAACCAATCATTGGCTTTCTCATCATCATTCATCTCGTTAAAAAAATATTAAATTAAAATTAAAAGTAACCATGAACATTCTATTATAATTAAACTTTAATTAAAAATTATTAATTTTGATATAATTAAATTTTTTTATTCTTATTTAACTTTAGGATGGTTACTATTTTACATAACAAATGAAATAGTATAAAACAAAAAACAACAATATATAAGTGTTTATTTATAAATTATTTTTCAAATATAATAAAATAAAATTGTATGATAAAACATCAGTTGAAATGAATTTTTTCTTTTAAAAAACAATTTAAAAATATTGTATCACAAAATATAACAAAATATATTTTTCTTCAAAAGGAATTTTAATTCTAAATAAAGGTATATAAATATATAAAATACGTTAATATTATTTTAACTAATAATCTTATTTTGATTATTTAACTTTAAAAGAACTTAAATAGAATTCGTTAATAGTGATGAAGATTATTTGTTAAGGGTTTTATCTGTAGAAATATATGGCTACAATTTTTTTTGGTCATCACGTAGATGTTAGATTGTGTATTTTCCTTCGTATTTATAATATAATCTAATAAATTCAATTCAATTTTAAATTACTTTATAATAAAATAATTAGTAAGAGACCTAGAAAATAGAGTATTAGAATACATAGGTGTATTAAAATAATGAGACAGATTATTTTACTTTAAAATAATCTTATAATATAAATAGAATTTTTATAAACATGTCTTACTATTCTAAGAACACTTCATCTCTCTAGAACACTATTCCTCAAAATTCTCTAACATCTCTCTAGGATTTCTCTCATTTGAGTTGTCTGTTCGACGATCAGGAGGTGCCTAGGCGATCCTGGCGTCGAGGGCTACGATCTTGACCGATCAGTTTCTTGTTCTTCAGCTGGTAAGTCGTTTTCCCTTTTCTTCCGCACATTTTGGGGCTGTGAGCATGCAACAGATTCTTGTTGCATGTGCTTGGTACTCTTTCTCTTCAATTCTTAACTCAATTAGTTTTAAAGTTGAATTTCTATCACCAATTGGTGAGTTGTAGGTTTCTGTTGAGTTTCCTTGTTGTGCAAGGCATTGTCGGAGTAACTCTGTGAGCTGGGCTATGCATCTCTAAGGTAAGGGGAGCTAGATATTTTCTTAAATTATTGGTATGACATGTGTGTATGTTAAATTCTGGGTGGCTCTACTGTTTGAAGCATAATTTATATGTTTGAAGTCATTTGAATTGCATGTATTGAATTATTGGACTGTGAATTTGTAAAATAGTGTTTGTGAACTGATTTGGATGAATTAAAGGGCTGTAATTGAACATGTTGGAGGTACTTCTAGTGAGCAATCTGTTAGGATATTAATTAGATAGAAGACATAGGGAATTATGCATGTTTTGAGTCTTTTAGAGGAAGTGGAGTAGTGAATTTGAGAGTTAAGAGTTATGGACTCAATTAGACTGTTGGGACAACTTAAGTAAGTCAATTGCGACTAGTTAGAATCATCAAAGTGGTTAAAAACAGGTTCAAAATGGTAGATTAGAATTTAGGTCCCTAAGTTGGTGATTTTGGTGTTTTAGAATATGAATTGGTTCATAATCAACTTAGATTGATGTTAGGAAGGTTTAGAATCACTTAGTCAAGTCTACTTAAGTTTATACAACAATCTAGGGGTGTTAGAAGTTGGAAAAAATGTTTAGAATCGGTAAGTTGTGGTTGAGTTGCATAATTCTGCAGAATTTCGTTCTACAGATTATGCAGACTCGCTATGCGAATAGATTCACATAGTGAGTCACCTTGGCGAGATGCTCTCTGCCAAGGCATTCGCACAACGAATGGATGCGTTGTGCGAATGGACTGAGAGGGTTGCTCTTTGTTTGATGATCCGCGTAGATCAGGTCGCTATGCGACTGGTTGGGGTCTGGGACTTTTATCAATTTTATTCGAACAACGAATGGGTTTCGCTCTACGAGTGTTTTAGGAGCCTAAGCCACTGTCTGAGGCTCTCGCATAACAAGTTGGGACGCTATGCGAGGGGTTTGAGGTCTGATACAAGTCGCAGTTTATTCGCATAGCGAGTTTAACCACTATGCGAATGGTTTTGAGGAGTTGGTCTCTGTTTGAGGATTTGCACAGCGAGCTGGGTCGCTGTGCGAGAAGCCTATAGTTTTGCTCTGCGAATGTGTGCGTTGTGCAAATGGTACAGGTTAGTTCACTCTTTTCTTTTGGACTTAAGTTGTTTTAAATGAACCATTAAGTGCCTTATGAAGTATGTTGAAGTTGTATTATGTTATATCATTGGTGATTGTTGTAAGTTTTGTTTCAAAGTGAAAGTTGGTGATTTCAAAATGTAAAGTTTAAAGTATGGTTAATGGACGTAATTCCATGATCCTCAAGGAGAGGATACATGGTGGTGCCCTATGTTGTGATTCAAAGTGGAATTTCTTGTTGAGATTCAAGTAAGTTTAGAATGAATGTAGGAGCTTAGTCTTGGGGGTTATCCTGAAACTCCAATGGTCTTTCATTCTCAAGTAGAGAGGATTGATCCATGTCGTGAGGAGTAGTAGGAGGTCCTAGTCTTGGATGCTTCCAGTATGATCCAAGGTGAGTGATAACAGACTAACCTCGTGAGTGTGGTAGGGTGAAACTCATTGACAATGACTTTGCAAAGCAGTAGAAGCCACCACGAGTGCACGACCCGCCATAGCTCGGTAATCATTCTAAGTCCGGACAGTCAAAGTCAGTATGGTGTCATGTGTGAAGAGTTTATGTGATGTGAATGAATAGTATGATTGTATGAAGCTTAGTAAATTAGTATATGATTAATCTTTGTTTAAACTAGCTTACCCTGTTGTGTGCTTGTGTTTTGTATGTATTAGTGTTTCTTTCTCTGCAATGATCATCCTTTGGATGTGAGCAGCGAAAGAAGAGGTATCCCTAGAGCAAACATTGGATGGAGGTGATGTTGCATAATAGATAACTTAGTTTTAGATCTAGTATATAGTTTTGCTATCCTATTGTACAAAAAGTTTTAAATTTATAGTTGTTTTTGGATGACTGTAAAGGTAATACTTTTTATTCTAGCTGGATAACTGTTTTATATTATCATGTATGTGATGCTTCTCTTTATAGTTTATACTATAATATTGGGATGTTACAACTGTAGTGCAAGTTTTAAAACACCTTTAATTATCATAAAATAATTAATCTCTAAAATATTGTTTTAATAATTAAATAAATCTAAATTATAAGCAAAATGGATCATGCAATTTTATATATAAACTTAGAAAACAAGTAGTATATATTTATATAATATTAAAAGAAAAATCACCATTGCAATGATATTACCAAATTGTCAATAAATTGAATATGAATAAATGGGTCAATTGAGATGAATTAATAGAATTTTCTTTATGTATGTCTGTCATGAAGGTCAAAGTAGATTGAATATGGTCTCAATCACCAAAAAGTCTTTCATGAAAGTCAAAGTAGATTGAATATGATTGAGAATTATGATTTCACAAGTAAGTTTTAGCAATTTTTTACTTATTTTATATCACTTTACTCAGAGGTGCAAAGAAGAGTACTGACAAAGAACTGTGTTGTACAGAAAAGCAGAGAAGAAAGAAAAAAAAGTTAAACCCATTAGGTTATATTTAACGGAAGAGACTTGATTGATGCAAATTTTACTATGTTTGGATGAAATTGAAATTTTTAAATCACATTTAAATGAAATTAAATTTTTTTAAAAAGGTGGATGAACTTGACACAATGCATCACATGAACAAATAAAATAATTAAACCTGAAGAAGTTAATAAAAAAAGCCAAGATTCTGGTCTAGATCTTTTGCAAATCTTTTACTATTAATTTTGTAATTTTTATTATCTTTATAATCTTTTTATTATCTTTATAATCTTTTTATTTTTAGTTTTTATACTTGTAATTGAAATATTATTTGAATTGGGGGAATTGAAACAGTTTATAACTGATTTTAATTTTTACACTCAATTTTTTACTGAAATATAACAACAAATTCTAACATTTGTATCAAAATCTACCTTTCCTTCCAATAATTCTCTCTTACATATGACAAAACACCTACACATACTCTAAAAATACCAATGTTACTTCAATTTAAAAATACCAATGCGTACACATAATTGATAAAATAATTATGATAAAAATTCAATTAAAATTATATAAATTCATAAAAATTCTAAATTTAGTTAAGTTTATTAAACAAATAAAAGAATAAAAATTACTGGTAGAAAAATTAAGAATATTAAAATTATAATTAAAAAAACTATCTTTTATCTGTTCCTCTGCAAATCCCAGTTCGATAAGCGCAAATTCGCCAACACTGAAATCGGAAAAATGGACACGGACATTTCCCGGTGGGTGATGGAGTTCCTCCTCCGCAGTTCCGTCCCCGATTCCCTAATCCAAAAAGCCCTAATCGTCCTTCCTCTCTCCGGGGCCGACTCCCGCCTCAAGAAGACCCTTCTTCTTCGCACTCTCCGCACCCTCCTCCTCCAGGCCTCCCTCTCCGAAACTGCGCTCCAAATCTTCGAACACCTCGAAGAACTCGATGGTGACTCCACCTCCGTCGCGCTCCGCCGCGCGTACCTGGCCGTTGCCGTCGAGTGCACTGTCAAGTACCTCGCCGCCGCCCCCGATGACCCCGAGGGGGTGTTTTCTGGCGCCGTGAAGCGGATTTGGCGCGGCCGCGTGGCGGCACTGGAGGCGCGCCGGAGCGGGCTGGTGTCTGGCGAGCTGGCGCAGTGGCGGGACGACGTGGAGGCAGCGGTTGGAGATTCTAGGGCTTGCGAGAGGCTGGCGGATTTCAATAGCAGGAGGGAGGCGATGAAAGAGGTGAGGGCGTATTTGAAGGAAGCGTGGGAATCGATGGGTCCTTCGTTCTTGGAATCGGTTGCGGCGATGTCGAAGGGTTTAACCAAGGAGAAAGAGGATTTTGTTATTAGTGGTGACAGGTGTGATAATGATCAAGATAATGGAAATAACGGTGATCATGGCTGCATGGAGGGTGTGGCAATGCATGATGAGAATCAGACCAAACAACAATTGGAAGAGAAAATTGAGGCGAATCAGGAAGTGGGTGGATGTGACTTGCCACTTCAGGGAGATAAAGGTACCTTTCTTAACGACTGTGAGATTTGATTCTTGAATTTCAAATTTTTTCTTTTAGTGTGAACTTTTTGTTACTTGCAACGCAAATTATCTTTGTTTTTGGGTGTTACACTCAGTAGTGCTTGTTTAAGTTGTGGTAGTTAATGGAAGTGGTGGAAGCTTAATTTGTTCACAACTTAGTTGTCGGGTTTTGTGAGGCATGTTTTGAGTTTGCACTACGTGTTTTGTCCAGGTTTCTATGTTTTCGCTTGCAACGTTTTTTAAATATATGTTTTTTTTAATTACTGAGTTTATGTATATGAATATTTTATCTAGTACCTTAGAATTTTTAATCAAGGTGTGCGTGCCTCTGCATGCAACAGTGTTTGTCTGTGGAAAGAAGTGTGAGTTTGGATACTAAATGATTCCCTGCATCATGGATGCGATTTAGAAATGGGACGTGGATGTGATTTTTCACTATTAGTTCTAGCTTTTGTGTTTTTCACAACTTGAATGTGAATTTTTTGGATGTGGAACATTTTCCTAAACATGTTATTAGTTGCTTCGTGTATACAACACGAAAGCAAAGATGTGGGTGCAAAACGTTTTATAATAATGCTGTGTATTTGCTGTTGCCTTTACTAGTGTTGTTATCGTCAAGTGGAACCAGTTAGTATTTTTTTTCCTCACTTTGGACCCACTCAATAAAAAATCCTGTCAAATTAAAATTGGCTTCAACTTTGGAAAGATATATGTTAAAATTGGTCATTCATTATTTGGAATTAACTCCAACAATGAAGTCACAACACTGTTCGATAAATGCTATTCTTTCTACTGTTTCACTGTTATTTACACTTTACATTTGTTTTCCCAATAGTAATTCAAAAGCGGAATCTTCGGGTTAAACACAAACACTCTGCACTTCGTGCATGTCATAGGGGAGTTAAAATAAATTATTCAGAGGAAGGACGGAGCAAACATGATTCTGTTCCTAGTTCTGAAGTAAAAGAAGTTAGAGAATCCCTTAAATCAAGTTCTTACGATTTAAGAGCATTGGTCAAGGATCCTCTTCCTGATGCATTGCATTTATCTGAAGCTGTAAGATCGAAATTGGCTACAAGTGATACAAATATTGAGCCACCTATTGAAAAGCAGAGTCCAGATGTAGATTTACCAGATCCAGATGTTTGCCAGACTATTGTACTTTTTCAGCCTAATGATGCCAATATTGGGAAGAAGTCTTCTGTTTATTGTAGTGATTTACATCAGCCCAACTTAATGGAACGAAACAGAAGTGCCCAGACATCTGAGGTAATCATGTTTGTTATTGTCTGTTTTAATCTAGGGGCAGATTCCTTTAATGTTGTATTGTTAGCCAGTGTCTATTTTTGATGTAAAGAATGCGTCGAGGTAACTTCTTTCATGGATTAATGCTTGCTATCTCTTGGAGTAAGCTTTCCTGCAAGGATTACCATCTCCCCGTGCTTTTTTCTTGTGGTTTGACAAGTTCTAAACAATTGCAATACAATGAAACTGGTGTAACAGCAACTGTGATCATGATGTATAAACCACACTTAAAACCTTGCTACCACTTGATCCAGTGGCCTGTGGATCCCCAAAGATGATGTTGATCATTAAGATGGTTTATAGTCCTTTTTTGATGGATTCTTTTTCTTGCTGTTGATACTTTGTATTTGGTTGCCATTTTGTTTTTGATTTTTGCATTGGCATATAACTTAGGTCCTTTTATTTACCAGTGGGATGATTCAATAGACAACTCGCCACAAGCAAGACAGCCTAAGAGGAGGAAAAGGAGATGGAGTTCTTTGGAAGAGGAGACACTAAGGGCCGGTGTAAAAATGTATGCACTTGTTCTAAACTAGTCAAACCATAAATTTTCCTGGTGAACTGTGATATATTAGTTATAAGTACAATGGAAAGCTAATAAATTTGTAATAGTTTTGTGCCTTGAGATTTCATGTTCTCATTCACCATTTTTTTATACAGGTTTGGAGAAGGAAACTGGGCAACAATAAAAAGTTTTTACAGTAACATATTTGACAACAGAAGTGGAGTAAGCAATATCTTCCCCAAAATGCTTTGCTGTGTTTCTTCCTGGAAGTATACCTGTAATATCAAACTGATTTTGGAAAAACAATTATTTTTGAGGTTGATCTGAAGGACAAGTGGAGAAATATGATACGATGACCCAAATGTGCTACTTGAACATTCATGTCTATATCTTGTGGAGGTATTTTTCCCGGCATTTTTTCGTTAATTTTTTTTTCTATTAACTCGGGTTGATATACAAATTGATACGTCTAGTTTCTTTTATTACTTGATTCCTTCTGTTTCATCAATACTGAATTAAGTCAATGTAGTATTCATAAGAGCCAACGAAGGATTCTTGAATATTAGGATCTAGCTACTCAAGCTTAACTAAGGTTTGGGATTGTCCTCTAAGTGGTATGACCAAATTATAATGTATAAGTAGGTGCAAACTTCATTTTACGAGTCAGTTTTATTAGGTTGAGTTAGATTTAGTCTATTTTTGAAGATGATATCATAGCTTATCTTAGAGAAGTTTGTTGGACTTATCATATCACTTGGTATTAGACCACCCACAAATATCCTGTAACATGGTCGAAAATTTCAATTTTTGGTGAGAGAATGTGTTGGAGATTCCATATCATATATATATATATATATATATATATATATATATATATATATATATATATATATATATATATATATATATATATATATATATAAACAAAATTATAGTATGTAATTGACTGTAATTCTCATTTTACTAGCTAGTTTTTTAAGGGTGGGTTAGGTTTAAAGTTCACTTTCAAATATAAGTAATTTGGTCTCACTCCGAAATGAGTTGGGTTGCATGACCCTGGTTTGGAAAACTCCTAATCTGCTTCATTTTATCATGTGAACTGAGCTAGAAGAAATGCATAGTAGTTCCTGATCTTCCTTACTTGGATTGCCATGAATGGTTTCTTTAGTAGCACAATGGCTCCCATGCGAGGAGGAAGAGGCAAAGTGGCTCCCATGCGAAGAGGAAGAGGCAAAGTGGCTCCCATGCGAAAAGGAAGAGGCAGAGGCAGTGCCCTCAGAAAACGAAGAGGCAGCAACACACACTAGAGAAGACAACCCTAATTTGTCTTTTCTTTCTTATAGTCTTTTGGCCAAACATTTATCTGCCCAATTTTTTTTTCCATTTAACAAAGGAGTTGGGTCATACAACACAACTCAATCTAACCATTATAACATTAACCTAATATACCCATCTATACAACCACTCTTTTTGAATATTGTTATTATTAATTACATGTTTATATGTCTTATATGTTCCATTTTTTAAATGCTTTTGAATCTTACTATTGACGATACGAAATATAAGCTCTTTGATACATAATTTGTATTGGGGTTCAATTGCCATGATTGCAACAACTATAATCTCCTAAATGTTGGACATGACAACATGGGCACACACACGTACTCATATGTATATTGAATATCATTGTGAATTATTTAAATTTTCAATCAAGGTTCATATATTAAAAATCATATATAAGAAAGTTAGTCTAGTATAACAATATGAATACAAAAATGGATCTAATCCATCCATCTAAAATCCAAAAAGTGAAAAAAAGATGCATCCCATTTAAGACATTCCACCCCTTTGTTGATCATCATCATTGAAAAAGACATCCTCTAGCTTCATCGTAAGACAAATTTAATGGAGAAGGGGAAACTCTAAAGTGGCAAGGGTGTGGTGGAGCCGCAAAAGATCATTTTTTAAATTCAACACTTTAGTACAGTGTTTGAATTGTGTCATACATGCCTCAATGTCGGACACTAGAACATGTTACTGAACAAGCTATGCCCTTGCTTCATAGTTTGGTGCCTCAATGGGCAAAGGCCGTGAGCCTATGTTGAGGTATGGTTTGGCTTAGATGGAGGTGTTCTTGGTTGATCAAGGATAGTGTAGAGTGTTGAGGATATGATCCTCAAAGAAGAGGACAAGAATAGAACAAGAAGATGAATAAAAGCTCAAAGAAAGAAGGACAAAAAATGGTAAAATGTTACCAAAATATTGGCTAGTTTTTGAAACTAACATGGATGGTTGAGCTTTGAATCAACCTTACGCCTCTCCTGTGGAGTTAAGCAAGAAAGAGGATTTCCACTTGAAAACTCCAGTCAAGATGAGAACTTTCTAAAGAAGAATGAAGACTCTCTTTGACAAAATCTCTCTAGATTTCAGATTTATAGAAGTTATGCAAAAATATGACCTATGCTCTCCTTATATAGAAGGAGGGTTGTGTGGAAGGAGTGGTCAATTATTCTCCTTCCCACCCTTATGTCCAAATAAACCTGAATACTAAACTACTAAAGGATTAGCCAAGCACACCATACGTTATCTTAGTATCCAAACAAATATCTATTAAGTGAAAATCTTGTTTCTATTATCTTGCTAAGTGTGAAGATTTTCTTCTCATCCTCATCCCACTTCTTGTCAACATTTTTCCAAGATCTTAAACTTAATTTATCATATCCAGTCACATCAATGGTTCTGTTTTTTTCCCTATTGAATTCTTCCCGTGTAATTTCGCTGAAAGATAGTATTTGTTTGGTGCATCCCTTTGTCCCTAAAAGTGAAGGATTCAAGGTGATTAACAATATTCTGTAAATTGGGTATTAAGGTTTATGGTGGATTCAGTCATTGTTGAGGACTGTGGCTTCTTGGGGGTTGGATCATGGTTTAGTGAGTGATAGACCAATCAGAATTTACAGAAACATTCAAGACAGGTTCTTGAATGACTTTTATTAAGAACCAAACTGTTCTGTCAATGTGACAGGATTACAACAATGTTCCTCCAACACAAAGGTCTTTCGAGAGGACCTTAACTCTCCACAAATTCCTTTTCCTCCAAAATTCCTAAAACTGCTAACAACAACCTAAACACAAACTATATATACTAGTCTGTTACAACCTGTTATAGCTACAGGAAGTTATAACTACCTCCTTTATTTATTTCTTCTAGTATAGACTTTCCCATTGAACCTATCAATACCGTGCCTTTGAAGTTTCACCTTGTCCTCTAGGTGAAAGTCTGGAATTTCTTTGATGATAGCAGCAGAAGACTCCCAACTGTTCTCAATCTCCAGAAGCTTTTGCCATTTGGGTAGCACTTCTAATTCACATGTAGAATTAATGCATCTATCTTGCAACTTTTCTGGAATGACTTTCAGCATATGTTCTTCAGATAGCATTGGGGGTAAGGGTTGAAAGGAAATGTCTTTAATTGCTGGCTTGAGCAAGGAAACATGAAAGACTGAATGAAAGCAAATGTGTTCTGGTAAGAGCAACTTGTAGGCTACTTGGACAGTGCGTTCCACCACCTGATAAGGACCATAATTGTGAGGACTTAATTTTTCATTAGGTTTCCTTGCTAAGGATTTGAATATGTATGGTTGGATCTTAAGAAAACCCCAATCTCCTTCCTTATAAACCACATCCCTCTTTTGATTGTTGGCTTGAAGCCTATTCTGGTCTTGTGCTTTTCACAAGTTATCTTTTAATGCTTTTAAAATCACATCTCGTTCTTCTTGCATCTGATATACGCATTCCACCTTGGATGGAATGGTTGTCTTTCAAAACTAAAGAGGGATCACGTCCATATAGAGCCTTGAATGGTGTTATCTGAGAAGAGGCACTGTAGTTGGCATTGAACCAAAATTCAGCCCAAGGTAATGACGTGGGCCAATGCTTGGGTTGAGTTCCTGTCATGAACCTTAAGTATGTTTTCAGACAACGATTGACAACTTCAGTTTGCTCATCCGGAGTGATAAGCAGTGCTGTACTTCAACTTAGTCCCAGCTTGTTTAAAAATTTCCTTCTAAAACTGGCTGAGGAATAATTGGTCTCGGTTTGAAACTATGGAGGAAGGAAACCCATGAAATTTAACCACTTCATTCACAAAAATCTGAGCCACATCTTGAGCTTAATTGGGATGAGATAAAGCAAAGAAGTGAACATATTTAGTAAGTCTGTCTACTAGCACAAAAATGGTATCTTTTCCTTTTGCTCTAGGCAGCCCCCCTACGAAGTCCATGGAGATGTCAGACCATACTTGAGTAGGAACTGGTAATGGTTGCAATAAGCCAGCTGGAGCCAAGATTTCAGTTTTTTTTTTCTTCTCTGGCACGTTGGAAATTGCATCACAAAAGCCTTTATGTCATTTCTCATGCCCTTCCAATATAGGACTCCCACAACCCTTTTGAGAGTGTGAAAATAACCACTGTGACCCCTAAAGGTGACTCATGGAGCTCCTGAAGAATGATGGGAACTCTAGACTAGTGTTTAGGCAATACTAGTTTACTTTGATAATAGAGCCTCCCTTTTTCAATTCATAGTTGGCATGAGCTTGAGGATTTATCATCAAGTCTTGAATAATAGCACTCAACTTAGTATCCTTTTGCATCTCCCCATCCCAGTCTTCTCAATCTTGTGGTTGCAAAAACAGAGATATTGCTAAAATAAGCATGTTTGGAAAGCGCATCAACCACTACATTCTCTTTCCCAGGTCTGTATCGAATTTCAAAGTAGAAGCCAATTAATTTCTAAGCCCATTTGAACTCTTCTTCTGTCAAGTTTCTGGGCAGTCAAAAACTTTAAAAACTCTTTTGATCAGTAACTATAATGAAATGTGATCTCAGCAAATAATGCTTCCATTTTTACCACAATCATCAATTCTCTTTCATATACTGATTTGTTTCGGGCCCTCTCTGATAGTGCTTAACTCCAAAAGGCAAAAGGCCTGTTGTCTTGGAGTAAAACAACACCCAATCCCTTACTAGAGGTATCAGTCTCAATAACAAAGGGTTTTGAAAATTTTGGAACAACTAAGGTTGCTAAACGTGCTACTGCAGATTTAAGGATTTCAAAAACGTTGTGAGTTTCAGCATTCCAATCGAACCCATCTTTCTTCAACAGTTGGGTCAAGTGTTTGGCTATTTTGCCATAATCTTGTACAAACCGTCTATAATACCCCGTGAGGCCCAAGAAAAATCCACATTGTTTCGATTTTCTTGGGATCAGCAGAAATCCCTGCGCACCTAAAGTGACATGCCCAAATATTCATTGCTATTTTGGCCAAAGCTGCACTTCTTTTTATTGACTTTCAATTGGTACTCAATCAACTTCTGTGAAACTTGTGACAGATGCTGCTCTAAAGAGGGGCTGTAAATCAAAATATCATTGAAAAACTCCAACACAAATTTCCGAGAAAAGGGCATGACCAAAAATTCATAGTGGGCCTCATGCGTTCAAAAAGCTGTCTTCTCAATATCTTCTTCCTTCATACGAATCTGGTGATATCCGGATTTAGAGAAGATAGCTGCTCCAGCCAATTCATCCAACAACTCATCTATGACTGGAATAGGAAATTTTGTTGGAATGGTTAGCTTGTTAAGGGCCCTATAGTTCACACAAAATCTCCACCCACCAATTTTTCCTTCACTAGAATAAGGACTGATACTACGAATAATTCCTGCTTTCGGCATCTCACTAATCAATTTCTCAATTTCATTTTTTAGTTGGTGTGAGTATTTGCAAGGTCAATGATTAGGAATGGAAGCCCCTTCTATAAGATAAATTGTATGGTCTTGCTGCCTTTTCGGAGGTAACCCTTCCAAATCCTGGAAAACCTTAGTATGACCTCTCAACACCTCTTCCACTTCGCTTGGTACTGTCATCAACCTTTCTGCTGTGTCTTCTTTTACACATCAACCAAAAAACCTGTATCACCCTTTTTCAATTCAGTGATCAACCTTTTAAAAGAAGTTGCAGTAGTAGAGAGAGCTGGATCTCCCATCACTGTTATTTGATTATTCCCTCCGCCTAGCTTTAGTTTGCCAAAATCTGCCTTCACTTCACCCAAGCTGGCTAATCCCAAAACAACATCTGCCCCTCCAATATCAAAGATGAAGAATTCTTGGCGAATATGCAGCCCTTGAATTTCTAACACAATCTGTACATTTTCCTTTACATTTCAGCCTTCTTCCATCTCCAACTTCTACCACAGTTGCTACTGGTTTTAACCCACATCTTCCCATTAATTCTTGCGAAAGAAAATTATGGGAAGCTTCACAATCCAGCATAACAATCACCTTCTCTTCCCCTATGTGTCGCCAAACTTTCCATGATTTCTTGGTAGTCAAACCAGCCAAAGTAAACATGGACAGTTGTAAAATTTTCTGACCTGCATTGCCCTCCAGCAATTCCTACATATCTCCCAATAAGCCATCTGTGTCTACTCCCTGTTCTTCAGTAACTAATAGCATGTGAAATTATTTATTGCGGCAGACATGGTTTGGACCAAACTTCTTATCACATCTGAAACACGACCCTTTCTTAATCTTGTCTGGCATTTCTTCATCAGTTAAGCATCTAAAGGACGACCCTCTGTTTTGCTGAGAACCTTGATTCCTCCCGACCAAATTGTTCATTCCTCCTACTTTTTTTCCTTTTTCCATAGCACCACTTGATGATTTCCTTCTCACGCAAAAGTCCTAGTCATCCAATTGGATTTGGATACTGTCACAACCGTATTATCGATAGAACCCTTTTCTTTGGATAAAACTTTAATTTTATCTTCAACCATTTGGGCTGTCATCATCAGGTCATCCAAATTTGAAGGTTTATACAGCTTAACTTTCGCATTGATCTCATCCTTTAACCCATTCAAGAATATCCCAATGAGATAATCTTGATTCATTCCTTTTAGCAATCTGCATAATGCTTGAATTGTTCGACATAATCTTCTACATTTCCTGTTTGTTTCAACGCCAACAAAACTTCAAAAGGATTTCTCAACATATTTGGCTGAAAACGTTGTACCACTGCCATCTTGAAAGATTCCCAAGTAGGATATGGGTAGCAAGATTCCCACCACCGAAACCAATTTAAAGCTTTTCCCTCCAAGGCCACCATCACTGTTTGCATTCTTTCAACTTCGGAGACTTCTTGCCAATGGAAATATCTGTCCAATCTATTAGTCCAGCCAAAAGCATCTTCCCCTGCAAAGATTGGTATATCCAGTTTGCGCCACCTTGAACCTCCATTTACTTTGCTGTCTTGATCATTTTCAACATTCTTTTCGGCCAACAAGTCAGTATTATTAGACCCAGAAGTGGAATTGCAGGTGATCTTTTCCACCATTCCCGATAATCCACTGATAAGATTCTCCATTCTTTGAAGACGTTCCAGGTGCTCATTTTCTACTTTTAGTCTGTCGTGTCTATCTTCTTGAATCATGCATTCCAGACTTTCGAATTTGGAGTCCATTCTGGTGTTAACTATACGCGTTCAACACAGCTACCACAGGGCCAAGAAGGAAGCTTTGAATACTAGTTGATAGACCAACCAGAATTTACAGAATCATTCAAGACAGGTTCTTGAATGACTTTTATTGAGAACCAAACTGTTCTGTCAATGTGACAGGATTACAACAATGTTCCTCCAACAGAAAAGGTCTTTAGAGAGGACCTTAACTCTCCACAAATTCCTTTTCCTCCAAAACTTCTAAAACTGCTGACAACAACCTAAACACAGACTATATATACTAGTCTGTTACAACCTGTTATAGATACAGGAGGTTATTACTACCTCCTTTATTTATTTCTTCTAGTATAAACTTTCCCAGTGAACCTATCTGTGAGTTTCTGAGAGATAGCTGAGAGGTGGTGAGACTTGAGATGTGAAAACAGAGAGGGGGGCAAGGGCAAGAGATGAAGCCAATGCTTAATGTGCTGAGATTAAGAGTAGCAGCAGAGAATGAGTTATCAGACGGTGCATAGTTGCCAGCATAGACAGCACACCCGAGATGGAGACATTACCTTTCTCACTGAACACACACTCTAAACAAATTTGGAATTGGTTTAGCTTTTTGAAAACATGTGACAAATTTCTAAATACCCCCCTCATTAAAAGTTTACCATTCATCATCTCAAGCTATTATATTTCAATTTGTATCACGTATATGTATTCGATATTTTAGGACACTTTATCTATACTTGTAGATAAATTATCTAATCTACAAACACTCATATTTTTATAGTGACAATAGTTTAGAATTTTTTATTTTGACAATGTCTAATTAATATGATTTTAATTTGGATTTACACAATTCCAATTATATATTTATTATATTTTAAGAATTTTTTTTACATTTTTCAATAGCATAAGTCACGTACTGTATCTTGTTATTTTCAAAATAAGCATATTGCTGTATTGGATAGGCATCCTATTCGATACACTTAGCTTAGCCCTGGGTCCCAAGCATGGTGCTGCCATCATGCCATACTTCCACGACAACACTGTTGCTAAGCAGCAATACTATGCAACTCTGATATTTACTGGCAACATATAAATTGGAACATTAAACCTTGCTAAATATGATGGAAATTATAATATCGGGAGTTGGTAAAATGCGTTCTAAATTGATATCTTGTTTTATGATTCTTGATCATTGAGTATATTTTTTTCTTGCTCTTTGCTTCTCTTCTTCCTGGCTCATACTTCTGGTCTTTTAGTTGGAGGATCAAGTTGGTCTATGAGGTAAACAACATTACAATATTCTTATCTGCAGGACTTTGTAATACTTTCAGGTAATGACAATTTTGATAGCAGCTTCACGCTGTGCGATCAAGTTTTATTAAAACACCATCAAATAGTACAGTTAGTGAGGACCAACTGGTATCCAAAGCCCATGCACGGATCTTTCAAACACATCATTCTTCCGTGTCTGCTTTCAACTGCTCAGCTGAAGGTTAGATTTGAAAGTGCAGTTTTTGACGACGATGGCATAAATATATCTGAAAGTTTTATGGTTGTCAGCTGTTTTAAAATAGATTCTAATGTATAAGTAAAGTAAGGTTTCTTGTCATGGTGTACAGCATATAATGAACTCCGCCTTCTTAAAATCTCAACAAAATTTTAATTTCATGTTTCTAATTTTGAAACAAAGAAATAGAAGAATAGAAATCTCAATACTGTGGTTCCATATTTTTATATCTTCGTGAAAAATCAACTGTGGTCGATTTGCCACACCGTTCCATGTGTGTCTGCCCTTGACAATAGTGACAACCATAGAGAATATGTAATTATATAGGCAACCAGAGTCTTGCATTCGATTTGGCAGCTACTGTGTAGAGTTTTCCCATACAAATTGGTGCATTATACAGAACAAAGGAACTTGGTAATGTTGTTCAAAACTTGATGAACAAATTGCAAAAGCATTTTGACACATTGGAGAGAAGAAATGTTGTAGCTTTATTACACGAAAAAGTATACTATTAACTTGGGGTCTACATTTCAGGTTCCCATTCTGGTAGTGCGAAAGATCAAGTCAATTTCGAGGTCTGAATTGTACTAGTTATGGTGTTTAAGTTTTAATCAGTATTTGCAATTATAGTCCCTTTTAACGGCTACAAGTATGATATTGATAGCCATGTAAATTTATAATCCAACTCATGTTTTCTCTAGTAAGAACTTACAGATGTGGTACATCAACTTTAATTGTTGTCTTGTTTTTTCTTATTTCCTTTCCTTTTGTGTTTTTTCAACTTCGGCTGGTGACTGGGCCGCAAAACTAGCTAGATTTTCATCAGCTTAATTTTTTATATTAGGGGGATTGAATGATTGATTAGTGGACGAATTTATACAAATAGACTGGTAAATTAATTTTGAAGATTTTCAGTTACTTGATCTAAAGGTATTTTACTTATGACAATATCATAAAGGCTAATAAATAGTACACGATATTGTCAGTGCATTCGTATTAAAATCAATAACTAATAAAGAAAATATTGGGACACTTTTATATCTAAAACTTTATAATTTACTTCATCCGAGAGTGAAAGGTTTAAACCATTCATGAAAATATCCAGAGTTCATTATATAGACTTGTTATTTGTTATTGAAAAATTCGGTTTAAATAGGATGATTGAAAAATTAAAAAAAAAGTCATTTGATTTTTTTTGAAGAAAATAAAAGTAACTTAAATTATGTTATTTTATTATATATAAACTTATTATTAATAAATATTAATGTATATTATTAAAATCTTAATTTAAGTATGATAAAATATCAATTGAAGTTTTATATTTGTTTTATTGGCGGGTTTGATTGAAAATTTGTTCCAGAAACTTTATTCTGAAAACATTTTATATTAAAAAATTATTCTAGAAATTGTTACATTCTTAATTCTTTTAGATAGAGCTTTTATAAGATATATCTAACTATTTTATTATTAATTTAGTTTATTATTATAAAAGTTAATATCTTTATAATAAGAAAGACTTTTTCTCTTCCTTATTTTTTTACTAGATTTTTTACTGTAAGGTTACTTCCTCCACCACTATTATAGGTTGTCTACCTCCTCATTTCAATTTTGTCTTACATTTAAAAGTTTTTTCTCATCGTAAATTAAGATTCACTAAACAATGCAGTTCACTTTTCTCTTTCAATGATTTATTTTATTCTTTAACAATTTTTTATACATAAAAAATATTACAAAAATTATTAAATTATGTAAAATTTACACAAGTAACATTTACAATGTTCATAAATTAAAATCAACAGAAAAAATTAATAAACAAAAAACAAAAAAATTGAAAGAGTTGAAACGCGAAAACTTGAACGGATGTGAAAAATCCGTTTAGCCTTCAAGGATCTTGAGAAATGAAGTTTCCACATCCGTTCAAGCATTCGCGTTTCTCTTCTTCTTACACAACACACCAGATACATCTATTTACAGAGCACATATACAAAAAGAAGGAAGCTTTAATCACAAAAATGTATAAGAGAAGAATAAACGAAAAGAAAGAGGGAGGGGTGGGGGCTGCAAAATTAAGGTTTTAAAAAAGATAAATAAAGTTAAATAGTAAAAGTTCAAAAAATGTAACTTAAAATATTTTTGGAATAAGAAAAAATCTGAGGTGTAGGGAGCAATTGGGGTGGTGGAGGGAGTAACTCTCTTTGAAAATTGAAAAATATCATAGGACTTCTAATGTTGAGGCCTATGATTTTGTTCTATTAAACATAGTATTGGTTTGTATGTGAGAGGATTTATGTTACATGTGTAGTTTTGAAAGCATTGATTAATCGATATTCAATTAGGATTATTAGGATATCATCATATTGTTGATTTGTTTATTCTTTGTGCAAATTTTGTTTATCTTAGTTATTAGGAGTGCTTAGTGTCAAAAAACATTTGTAGTTCTCTTTAAGAGAAATTGGTTATTTAAAATTTGTTATCTTTTGTATAAAATTGTGATGTAACTAAGTGAATTTAATGTGGATTTGAATGGTTGGATATTGAGTTGTGCTAAATTGTTTGTGTTATGTGAGATGCATATGTGAAAGCATATATTGTTGACATTTTGGTTTTAAGGATTGATGAATTTAACTTTTTTGATTTCAAGTGGTATATTTGACAAGTTGATTTTTTATTACAAATTTTGACAAGAAAAGAAAAAACACCATTTAAGACCTAGAGGAGTAGAATTGTTATTCACTCAAACTATGTTATAACTTTGATGGGTGAAATCTTGTTGTAATAATGATTTGGAATTAAAGATTGATAACTTTGTTTTAATTGGTATTTGAGTACGTGTTTGTCCTTTTAGAATTGGGATTTGGTTATTAATAGGAACTTCTCTATGAAACATTTAATTGATTTGATTCGACATTTCATGAACTAAGAAATTGATACATCAAAACATTATGAAGTTTATTAAGTGGGAAATAACTCTAAAAGAGTTTGTTGCTTAATTAAAACTTAGAGGAAAGTTTTTGCTTCTATTATACCGTCAAACGTAGTTGTAGTGTTGTTTGGTGAAACTTAGACAATGACCAGTAACTTAAGGGTGTTGGGTGCCACTTCTAGATTGTCGAACATACTTAAATTAGTGAGTCCTAGGAATTTGTAGCGTCAGGCGTCACTTTTCCCATGTCGGGCGCTGCTCTGTTTCCTATTCTGTGTCACATTAGGAAAATTGGGATTCCCACTTCGTTAAACATTGGATTAAGCTGAAATTTTGACAGTTAGTCCTAGACACATGATTCTTCACTTTGATCATTGGGATATTTGATTAGACGTTTATGGATAGAGTGATGCCTCTCGCAGTTTTGATATATTTAATGAAAACGTGGCAATTGAATGTTATGCAAATGTAATAAAAAAATGAATATTAGCATGTAAATTGAAATAAATAGTAGGTGATTTATGTTATGGGATGAGTTTAGATTGAGGAACATTACCTAGGTATGATATGTTGTGATGATTTAAGATGTATATGAAAATACAATGAATCAGTTGTGTGATATGTTGATCTTTTATTGTGAATGTACTTACTATCTTTTATATGATTTGCTATTTTCTTGTGATTGTACTTACTATCTTAGTAAGGTTTATTGTGAATTACATGTATACGTGAATGAATGTTCAAATGTTGAATGAGATGAAAATGTGGTATTGTGAAGTGATAAATTTGCAATGACTTTCAAGAAAGAAAACATTTTATTACGGTGTTAGGTATATTTGAGTATGAGTTTTGCAAGGAGATTATCCAAACTCTGCTAGGTATCCCAACTCACATATAGTAGGATATTTAGTCGTGAGAGTCAATGGAGGTTTCCTATGACGAGAAATGGTAGGGAATGGACCCTTTATGGTTAACATAGGCAAACTAACCTTGTCATTAGGAATGCAGATAGAGTCATGGCTTGATAAGCTAAAATGATATTGATATTTTGATGATAGGGTTGATGATAGGGTAGAATCTCTGAGTCCAACTCTATGTACAAAAATTCTTCTACAAGTAGTTGTTGTAGTTTATCTAAATAATGGTTTATGATTGAATGAAGTTAGTGTATGCGAGTAATTACTTGTTTTAATAATGTTGAACGATTTATGTGTCTTTCCTCTTTAAATATACTAGCTTACCTTTGTTTTTTTGTGTTTATTGTGGTTTATCAACGTGCAATGATAGTATGTTATATGTGAACAAAGGATAATACAGGAGAGTTGAGAAGCAATAGATGATGCTTATGTATATAATTTGTGTATTGTATAGATCCCCTTAGTTTATCAAAATTTGTTTATTTTTAAGAAGTTTAAGTTAAGTTTTTTTCATGGAGGATTTGTAAATACATTTTTGTATTAATTTTGGTTTATGCTTGTTATCAACTATGTAATGCTTTAAATTAGTAAGTTGAATCCTACTAAATTTGGGATGTTACATTTTGTGCACCGGAGCAAATCAAATCTTAAAAGATATGTGAGAAATGAATGTTATGTTTCTGTTGTGTGTTTGTTTTAGCGAATGTTTATGAGTTCAGAGTAGTCCATCCTTAGAGGTTACATGTTTGTTATGCTATCTTGGAAAATTATAAGTGTCTATGTTTAGATATTAGATTTGGTTTATGAAACTAAAATTTTTAAGAAAGAAATAATCTTGATGGATTACATGTTTGTTATGCTACCTTGGAAAAGTATAAGTGTCTATGTTTAGATATTAGATTTGGTTTATGAATCTAAAAGTTTTAAGAAAGAAATAATCTTGATGGAGTGGTGAGGATGCACATTCATCTCCACATCAAAAATACTTTTTTCTTCTTAATTCTCAAAGTATGGGAAGAAAGTGGTAAACATAAAGGTAATTGATAGAATATTTATTTAAGAGAATGTGTTGTTAGAGGGAAAGAGAAAACTATAGTTTGAGTTTTTGGTTTCAATACAGGACATGTTTTCGTTTCTATGATTTGTGTGTAGAGTTCAATAATAATAAAGGAATGCAAATTCAAGATTAACTTGATCTACTTACCTTTACAAGAATTGGAAAAGGTTTTTGAGACAAGATTTTGTCTCATATATAATGTTGTATGTTGTATATTAGTTGAGAAAATTGGGTTATGATTGAGTTGAGAAAATTGGAGACTAAAGATGATACACTTTAGATAAAACTATAAAATTATAATAAGATTAAAAAATCTAAAAATTATAAACTTATACAATTATGAAATTAAAAAATTACAAATTACAAAATTATTAATTATAAAATTATGGCATTAACAAATTATAAAACTATAAAATTATGAATTAAAATTATAAAATCATAAAATTAAAAATAATAAAGTAGTACAATAATATATTATGACAAGTAAATAAGGTGTTAGGACAATATTTAACAATCACTTGACTTAGTTAACAGAAAAATTTAAAGACTTAATTAAAAAATATAAATTTAATACTTAATAGATAAAAAATTTATTAAAGATTCAATTAAACATTTCCAAATTTATCATGACATAAAACTTAAATGAACTATAAAATTGAGAACTCATATAAAAATAAAATATCATTATAGATTAAAATAAGAAAAAAAAACTTTGTTAATATCTTAATATTGGTAGGAGATATCCGATTTAACACAACCAAAAATTCTTTATTTTTCACAAATATGATTAACACACGCAACTTGTACTTTGAAGTTTTATGAGATATTTTTGAATTGTCAAACAAAAACAACAAAGAATATTTGGCTCTATTTCCAATTACTATATATAGTGACAATGGTGGCTTGAATTGATGTGGATCCTCTTAATTCATAGTAATTGGAGATTTTTCAATTAAAGAAATGTGAACCATTTGATTTAACTTGTTGTTGATTTTAGTATTTAATTAACTTTTCTTTTATAGCAATTAGATTCTCTATTAAAGATTATTATCATACCTCCTGCTACGATGATCTTAACATCAGATGAAATATAACAGTTCATATAAATTCAAATATTAAAATAATTAAAAAATTTACAATAATTTTTTTTCTATTAAATAAAGCAGAGTATAAAAGTATTGCTACTTGATGGATTGTTTTTTATTTAATGACTAGTCACTCTTTCTATTTAAACGCATGAGAAACTATAAATTTATTAATTAGATATGGGTGAAACTTTTTTTTTTTTAAATTTCTAATAGATTAGTTTAGGTTTTCATTTTTTATTTAATTCCAAAACTTTAGAAAAACCTCAGTTTATAGTTGATATATTTCTTTTTAAAAATAAATATTTATCCAATTGTTAACTTTGAACTTTATTCTAATGAACTAAATTAATTTTTATTGACAGCGTAAAAGAGAACATGAAAATATATTCCTAATTATTTGAGTCATTATCTTTGAAATGCGGAAAAAAACTAATATAATGAAAAATCAAAATTAAATTTCAAAATAGAATATGTAAAATTAAGTAAAACTATCTAATTTATCCTACTTTTAACTCTAGATAATAATATTTTTTTAGATTTAAGTTTATCTCCATATTTATATCTATATTTATATATCTATATCTGTAATTGGAATTTTATAATGATAAATTTTGACATTAAAAAAAAACAGGCACCACAGTAAAATAATATTATAAAAATATTGTTTTCAAACATCTATATCTCTTTCATGCAGGATATTGTGAAGATACGTGAGCCAACGTAATTAATTTAGGCATATTGTATTTTTTATCTATATAAACTAAATGTTGTTCACTTTCGAAAAAATAATGCTCTATTATAAGTAAGTACAACAGCATCAAATTACGACTAATTACAAGTTTACAACATAAATTGCCAACTGAGGCTTATAAAACATTCCTCAAATCAAACAACACTAGAAATTAAAAATTTATTAAATTAATTAATGTTAAAAATCTTATATTAACTAAGAAGTGAAATTACACTATTTAAGGAATGATAATTCTTATATTTTGTAAGAACGAGTTACACAACTTTATAAGAAAAAAAAATATAATTAAACATACTTTTTAATAATTATCATTTTCAAATTAATCAATTTTATTCACTATTTCCCCCACTAAATGAAAAAAAAAAAAAGGTTCAACAACCTATTTGGTTACTAATTGCCGAATTTGAAAGATCAAATTTATTTTAAATTGATTCTGTCTCTTTGGAGTATAGTAATTTTGGCCAGCAATGAACCCTATTATGCAGAGGCTTCTTAGAGAGAATTATTACATTTCAAACATTAAGAAAGGGAAAATAAACAGCAAAAAAATTAATTTAATTGCCATTAAAACAACAATTTAGGAACATTATGATTACAAGGATTAATCCTATTCGTATTATCTCAATTTTTAAGGTAAAACGTGCCATTCATAACATTTGTTTCTTTACAGTAAGCAAGACTAAACGAGAAAAACAGATTATTACATCAGAATCCAAAAAAATCAGCTTTACGTGAAATAATGTTGAACTAACTTTATATATTATAAATGGATAATAAATATAAAAATTTTAATTAATTTTTTCATATTAAAGTATATATATTTTATAGGTGAAATTAAATATTAACAGGTGGTTTGAAATTAATTTATGTGTTTATCGTAACTTCTGCATCCACCATAATATTTTTATGGTTATAATTTGATTAGCTTTTGACACAAAATCTGTCACTAAAATCTATGTCTACTGTGTGACGGAGTCATTTCTCCAACCTTTGTGTATTATTAACTTTTGAAACAAAGTAGAAAAATAGAAAAATAAAAATACTTGTTTTTCAAGAATAAGGTGATAGTAAAGCACAGACAAAGAAAATAGACTCCATAATAAAGTTCGACCACTTAGTAAAGGAGACTTCACATCTCCAACACATCAACACATCCAAATCAATCCATACTAACGCATGAATTTAAACGTTTACAATTAAAAAAGAGATATAATATCTATTTAGGTCCCAATTTTGGTTGGAAATATTTGAAATGGTCCCAATTTTTTTTGCTGTTTATTGTAGTCCTAAAGAATGTAATTTGTGTTCAATTTGATCCTTTTTACAAATGTCGTTTAAATCGTTAACGGCCAGATGTCCAGATGTGCAATTACATAGTGAAATGTCATGTATTGGCTTACGTGGAGTCCTTTGTGGCGTTGTGAGTTGGAAGGCAGGAAGAGGCCGAGCAGTGAGAGAGAAGAAGAAGGGAACCGAACAGCTGAAGGGGTGAGGCTACAAAACGGTGGAGGTGATGGAGGTGTGTGCCGCGGCGGCGTTGAAGAAGGGAGAATGGTTGTAGTAGCGGTGAGCATGGAGATTCTGCTGTTGGCTATATATGAATGTTGTACGAAACTTTCGATTTAGGTTGGTGCTAGAGGAGGAAGACTCGTGATTTGCTGCAGGTTTGATGGCGTCGCGGATGGAGATGTGGTGGTTGTAGGTTCTCGCGTTGAGTGGCGCGATTGTTATGGCATCGACGGCCTGAAATGGGCTTTGCTGCGCAATGGTGGTGGTGGCCTAAGGTTTTGAAAGCACGAGGAAGATGATGCGCGAAGATGGTGGTCTAGCAAGCTGAGACCCTAATCAGAAATACATTTTTAACAATTAGGGCTTAGGTGGTGGAGAAGATGATGGAGGTGCGAAGATGGTGGTTGGTCGTGACCGTGGCTATGGCAGTTAAGCTTAGGTGGTGGCTAAGGTTTCTGTGTAGGGGAAAATAGGGTCTTATGGAGGTAGGAGATGATGATGACGTGTCAAGGGTGATGTGTCATTTATTGAACATCTGGACATCTGGCCGTTAATGATTTAAACGCCGTCTGTAAAAAGGACTAAATTGAACATAAATTACGTTCTTGAGGACAACATTGAACAAAAACAAAAAATTGGAACTATTTCGAATATTATGAACCAAAATTAAGACCAAAATAGGTATTATACCAAAAAATACAACACTAGTACATACATTAATATAAACAGATCTTTTGGTGCAAACTCTTACATAAAATATATTTTTTGAATTTACCTTATTGTCATGATAAAGGATGTTTTCTGGTTATTTGGAATTTTTAATATTTTTTTTCTTCAAACTAATATATGTTGCATGTCCATAATTCATTAAAGATTAATTAGCATTATCTTTTTTTGGCTATACAAAGTTACTATTCAACATATATAAATAATAAGAGAACATTGTCGCAAAAATATCAGACTGTGATTTTGACGCATTAACATTAACAAGACAGGCACATGTGTCTACAATATAGTTTGGCTGTTATCCCTAAAACCTAATTTTGAAAAAGAATCAACACACGCAACTTGTTTGAAACTTGTTGAGATATTTTTCTCCCAATAAATCATGACACAGAAACACCAAAAGAATCTTTGTCTCTATGTTCAAATTTCTCTTACTGCAAAATTTCCAATCTCGTTCATTCTCTCTATATATAGTAGAAACCCTAGCTAAGACCTGATCATCAAGAAAGAAAGGAATAATGGCAGTGAGTAAGTTGGCATTGGTTGCTTCAATGATGGCTTGCATGATGATAACTTCCTCTAATGGTGAATCAACCTTGACATGTGATCAAGTGACTGTTTGGCTGCTTCCATGCATACCTTATGGAATATTGGGAGGGAATGTGACATCGTTGTGTTGCGAAGGTGTACACTCTTTGAATGCAGCGTACAAGAGTGGGGAGGATCGAAGAGGAGCATGCCAATGCATTAAGGACAGAGCTGCACTTATCCCAGGCATGGACTATAACCATGTTAATGAAGTTCCTGGAAGATGTGGCACTAAGTGTCCCTTCAAAGTCTACCCTTCTACTAACTGTTCTGCGTAAGTATACCCTTCATTTTTCTTCTGCTAACAGTTTTCTCCTTTTTTCATCTCTAAATCTCTGACAGTACTCTTAAACTTTATGTTTTTTTATGTGATTCTCCAGTGTGAAGTGAGCAAGCGATTATCAGCAGAAGGGTGCAATATTATTGTATGAATAATGAAAAACAATTATATGTGTGTATTTAGATAGAAGGAAATAAGGAGTATGGATTGTGTGTAACGATCCAATGAATGTCTTCAAGTATATATATATATGTCATCAATAAAGATATTTCCCTTTAATTTGTCATTTTCTGCAGTCATGTGAAACTGATTAATTAAAAAATATAATTGAATTTGATTTATTTGATAATAATTTAATTGGATACATTCATGAACTATTTTTTTGGATGGATATTCTATTCATTCATAAAAATAATATCTTTAAAATTTTAGTGGCTTAAGTGATGAAAAATTAAGAGGCCTATAAAGAAGAGTAACAGAAAAAAAAAAGTAAATAATAATAATAATAATATTGACACTTGTTTGAAAATTGAAAATTTCATAGAACATGAATCACTTGTTTTAATAAATAAGTTTATATTTAATTTATTTTTATAAAATCAACTAATAAAATGAGAATTACATTTTACTCACATATTATATGTGGTTTTTAAGTTTTAACATTTATGATGCAAGAAGAAAATAATTTATCAATACTTTTTTTAATATAACTTTTTTACAGGAAATTCCTAAATAATGAAGTGATTAAAATTAATTATTTACTATAATGACCAATTTAGATATCAATTTATAAATTAAAAATTATTGATAACTAAGCTAATTTTTATTATGAATAAAAAATTATAATTGCTTTCTAAATTGGTAACTAAAATAGTTTTATTATAAATTAATATCTAAATTGGTATTAACATTAACTACTAAGATTTTGATTAAAAAAAATTAGTTTCTAAACATATTTTTAATCATTATTTAAAAATTTTCTTACTGGGATGACGAAAAAAACTCCCACCTGTGTCTCCCACAACAAATATGGCACGCGTAACACAATATTAAGTTGTCTTACATAAGCTGACTGTTCAAATGACATCTAAAGTATTCCAAACAAAATTCATCATTTCTCTATTCTTGATGAATTTATGAGAATTATGATTTGAAGAGAAAAATTTGTCATAACATATAATTGTAACTAAAGGTAGATAAGTATAAAATCGAAGATGATTAATGACAAAGGAAAAATCATTTTGTAGAAACTTTTAGAAAAAAGATTTCTAGAAGACTATTTTTGAGACAATAATAGATATATTAAGGAAGCAAAACCTATAATGTTTGTTTAACAAGGAATGCTAGATGATGAAAAAGAAACCCGATAAATTAGATCTTAAAATGAGTGTACTTCGTTTGATTACATTTTTATATTTCTATTATATCAGCCTCTTTGTTTTGTTAATTTTATTTATGTTGTGATTAAACTTTTTCTACGTTTTTGTAAAAGGATTGAAACACTTCTAAGTATTCCATATTAATATATTATTTACTACGAATAAAAAAATAAATAGATATGTTAAAGAGGTGAAATTGATTTATTATAATTTGTACATTTTAGATAATGCTACCAAATTTTGATTGATCAAAGGATTTATCATATTATACAATATCAATCAAACATAAGTCTAATCCACGTAAACAATTGACATCACTTTCATCCAAAAATCTTAAAGGAGTTTATTCAAGTTGAGTCTCTTCCATATTAATATACTTGTCCTCAAAGAGACATTCACAACCACGAGTACTTCAATGATAACTTTCTTTTATCATTAGTATAGCATAATGAGATACAATTGCCTAGAATCCTCATTAAGAAGACATTTCATACCGTGAATCCTCACATATAAGATTTTTCACCCATATTATACCTTGTTATCTAGTCATCAAAATAGAACCATCAACTTTGATACCACTATAATAGGTCTTTTCAAGGAAGATTCATTGAAAAATACAACACCAATAAGACACTAATTTAATCCAGATATATATTGCTCAATTTCTTTATTTCTATCTTGAAACTTAAACTTACACTTGAATTCTCAATAAATTTAAATGTATATTGAATAATTTTTTACTTTATATTTACTCAACTTTCTTATTTTTATCCAATATAAAATTTAAATTTACATTTAAATTTTTACCAAATATCTGACAAGTTTCTAATTGGATTCTATTTTTTTTTAAAAGGTATAAAGAGTTTGAAGAAGGACTTCGAATATAAAACTTATTTTCTTATACTATAAAGAAATTTCATCAATAACTTTGTAATCAATAAAACAATAATTGAAAAAGTATATTAATTTTTTTTCAAAGACATCAAAATTTCTAAATAATATCCCAATACATATACGCGTATTGTATTCTGAGGACCTAGAAAATGTTATTTTAGAATTGATAATGTTTTAAAAATTGTGAGACTTGGTTATTTTAATATTAAAAAGATTTATACAAATAGGAAGTTTTATAAACATGTTTCATTATTTTAAAACACATTATTTCTCTAGCAACTACTTTTCTAGAATTCTTTGACTTCTTTGTAGGACTTCTCACCCCTTCATCTGATTAAAGACTCGAAACAATAGGATTGATCTTAGCAGCGAGCTTTTTAATCTGGACCGATCAATTTTTTTTGTTTGCTTAAGTTGAGTTTCAACTCTTTTCTTGGTCTGCTTTTGTTTTTTATTACATGTGTCTTTTTAATATTCTTTGAGTCTTTGTCAATCAATGATTTAACCATTCTTTTGATGTTTTTATGTGTAGATAGAGCATCCTACATGGTTGGAGGTACTTTGTAATTCTTAGAGTTGTTTGGATTTGTTGAGTCGCTTTGTCAAGTCCGGGAATCTAGTCTTGATTTGTGTTATGTGAGTTTTTATCAATTTGATGTTTTGCATGTTGCTACTATATTGCATTTGTGGGTGAAATTTGGTTGTCTCTGATGAATCTAGTTTGATGTGTATGGTTGATGTGATCTTCATGATTTGAATCATAATTATATGACAAGTGTTTGTGATTGCTTTTGTGTGTGAATGAGATAACTTAAATATGAGCAATTTGGTACAAGCTTTATTGTATGTAAAACTATTTTGAACCAAAGTACTAAAATAGGAGTACCAAATTGATCAATTGAACATGTCCAATTTCCTTAAATCACAAAAATGAATTTTTTTGATATATGATACAATGTTGTGCAAGTCTCGGAGAATTTTAGTTCCAGAACACAGAGCGACAGGTTGTATTATTGAGTGTCAGGTTTTACGAATGCTTTAGCACTGAATGCCCAAATGGGGTTGCTGAGTGCTCGTTTCATTGTTAGTTTTTTGTTTTCTCTTTAATTGGTTCTTAGTGGTTTTGTTGACTAGCATATCCATGTTGATGACTTTAATAATCAAGATAATTGATGTGTAAGTGTTATTTATGGAAGGATTGATAAATTTATGGATAAATATGCATGTGAATATTGATGCATGAAATTATGATGATGATGATGACCTTGTTAATGGATATGAACATTGTATGTGTTTGGTGTAATTCCAAGAATCTCATGGAAAGATTCTACGGTGGTGTATGTGTTTGGTGTAATTCTAGATATCTCATGTATATATTCCATGGTGACCTTTCTGTAGTGTATGCATTGATGTATGGATTCAATAAGCGTGTATCCTGATACTTTAATAACCATTCACACTCACATAGAGTAAAATGAGTTGTGAGAGTTACAAGAGGTTCTAATAATATATGAGCTTGTTTGGTCTAAGATGCGAAAGGGATTAACCTTGTGTGTGATAGGGTGATACTCCATAGTTATGACTCTCTAGAGTAGTAGAGATCACCACAAGTGCACGCCTCTTGTGAATTTCGATGTTAAAGGCATGTATCTAGATAATTAAGTTTAGTATCAACTGTTTTTTGTCCATATATATTAATTATATTTTATCCATGCTTTAGTTTATATTTGATATAATTTGTGTGGTTTAGGATAACTTTTTTGTACACTATCTTATCCTTTGTGTGCTTTGTGTTTTTTGTATGTATATTTATCTCTTTTGTAATAATCATCTCTTTAATGTGAATAGATGAAGAGGTAGATGATAATACTCCTTTAGTAAAGAACTATGATATTGAATAATAGTCTTTAACTTTTAATAGTTTCTTTTGTTCTTTTTGAAAAAGTTATCTAATTATATATATATATATATATATATATATATATATATATATATATTACTTGAATAAACTTTTATAAGAATTGAACAATTATAATAAAAATAATGTTAATTAAAATATTTTATATATATTATAATTATTCTATGTGTACAAATAAATAGAGAATCAAATAATTTTGCATCGCTTAAAATTTGAAATCCATCAATGTTAGATAGAAAATAATTTTAAATTAGTATAGAGTTTTGCTTAACATGTTTAATAATATAAATTTTCAGTCCAAATGACGAGTTTTAACGTTAATTTATCTTATTTAAAACTATTATTGTGATAGGTAATAAAGTATATATATACACGTTATTTATAAATAATATTAAATAAAAACTATATTCTCTATGAGACAAATGCACTACACTTTTAGATTCTTTTAAAACGACAAAGTAAAAAATAAAATAAAAAATCCATAAATTTTATTTTGTTTTATATAGCCACTGGGGTTCCACATATTCCTCCAAACAGTCACTGCCATAGTCTAGTAAATTTGTGGTTGGACACAGTTGTAGTTGTTTTGCCCAGAAAAAAGAGATATATAATTGATAAGATGATTGATGTTTTGTTTGCCGCAGACATGCATGAAGTTGGAAACATTCAGTATAAAAAGTCTGCACCAAACTCCAAAGTTGGAAATTAATCTGAAAAGGTAACAACAATTCAAAAGCGACCTGTGGAAAAAAAGATCATCGAATAATTTTTCTAAGGACTTTGCTTCTTTGTTGTGTTGACTCAAAGACATGGATGATTCTTCTCTACCATATACCACACATATTCTTCTTCCGGGATTATCGCATCAATTATGCAATCACTTTTCTTTTCATTTATTCAATTACACGTATACTTTATT